GTACTTGTCCTGATCAACCCGAACGCCCATTACACGTGCAGCTGTACAGTGCGCCCTTCGTAAAGCACCCAACATACTATTGCTAAGGTATTAACCTCGTTAACCTTTACTTTGTCGGTAAACTCACAAGAAACGTGTGATAAACAACGCGATAAGAGACATTCGTATTGTTATTTGGCTAACACACGAAGGGAATATCTTTGCACGAGAAACATGCTGCTTGTTTTGGAGTTGACAATCTCCCACCGCTTAACTATCGGCTGGTTTGATGCGTCCATATCCCTTTGCTTTGTATTGCTTCTGCAGCTTGTTGTATGCTTTCTGGTACTCTTGAAGTGTTGAGGTGTCCATGCCTCGTAGGGCAGCTGCCGCGTTGGTCTTGTATAAATTCCAGTCGATGTCGAAACGTTGAGCCAAATTCTTCAAGGCATCCTTAGGGATAGTTCTTTCTTCGAAGTCGGCAGCAGTCGTACGGTGGGCGTGGTTGGTCCTCAAAAACCGTTGGTCGGCCACGGTAGCATGACTGGTAGCCAGGAAGGTAGCAGCGATCACCGCAAGACGATAGATAGACGCATGAAAAGCTGAATGGCAGGTTGGTTGAGCGTGAGAAATAAAATTGTGAAGTGAGAGAAGAAGAAGTCTGATGCTTACAAACGGTGTGGTCCGTTGTGGGATATGTATATTTCTCGAAACTGAACGACGAGCGTTTCTTTTAAAGTTTCCCTGATGTTATCTTGAAAGCATCCAATTGCTAGAATGATTATGGAAGTTGCACGTGCAGTACAATTGTGCGGGAAAAAGATATTGTATTCCCACCACGTGGTGGAAATACCGGAGGACCTGGAAGTAGTAGAGTTTAGTTTATCTATTGAAAAGAGTATGAACTGGGGCTAGCATTTCCCAGACCCCCGCGGTAGAAAAATAATGTACTGGAAAGTAATTGAACCAAGTACCGGATAGGGTTTACGTCTAGTTTTACGCAGTCATTGGACGTTATCTTACCATCACTTAGTGTTTTATTACGTGATGACAATGCATGTCCTACATTCAGTGGCTTCGCACACGCTATGGTAGAATTCACGTACGAAGTACTTCCTCTGGTCTGTAATAAATGCACAAACTCCATATTCCAAAATGCGGTTTCTCCTGGAGGGACGGTTTCGAGGCGCTCATTACTACATTCGACGCAGTGTGGTCCCCTCTTTTCAACGCTGGTTTGAGCGCGATGATAGCTCTTCAAACGCGGAAGATATGGCGGAAATAGTGCTCTCCGCCAGGTCACAATTGCGCATTTTTCAGCATCTTTAACTCCAGCCACTCGCCATTTCAGTACGCATGGCCACCTCTACGACCGTTTCCAAGTCGAACTCTCAGACTCTGGAAGCAGGCGTGGCTAGGCGTCATGCTTTTCGTGTGGTCCGTCGCGTCTGGAGCGTCCCGGACTGGCGCCTGTCGATCCGGGCGTCAGAGCGCTACAAAGTCGACAAGAGTTCCATCAGCGCCACCATGTGTTATGACTGCGCTTATGAATCGTTTACAGAGGATATTTATTTGCTTACCGGAGGCAGTATACTTTATTATGCAGTCAATTTGATCTACTTTCATCAACAATAAAGTTTAATTACGAGGGATCTGTAGAGTTATTGCATTATTGGTCGGTTGTGTCTGATTGGTTGAAGTGTGTGTACTCCTTTTTACAACGAGAGGATTTGGGATGGTAGCGTAGGCTGGGAAAGCAAGCTATTACACCTAAAGTAGTTTTTCTGGAAGGATGTCTCTTCAATGAAAACGTACATATGCATTATTAACAAAAAACACTTTCTTGAAGCGAGCCAGAATATTTTTTGACAGCGTTAACGTTTTCGACGGTTTTACATACTACCTTGTACGAATGTGATTCAGTCACATTCAAGCTACCTAATGGCTTCAAGTTGGGGATTGAAGCCACTAGAACGACGGAGCAGTTAGTAAATACGATCACACAAATGTAT